CAAACTGAGGGTTCTAGAGGGGAGGGGGGTGGGGGGATGGGTTAGCCTGGTGATGGGTATTAAAGAGGGCATGTATTGAATGGAGCACTGGGCATTATACACAAACAATGAATCATGGAACACTACATCAAAAACTAATGATGTAATGTATGGTGATTAACATAATAAAATAAAAAAATGCAAAAAAAAAAGGCTACAAATCATATAATTCCATTTGTAACACATTCTGTGCTTTTGGTGTTATATCAAAAAACCACTGCCTAATCCAAGTCACAAAGATCTATACCTGTATTTTTTTCTGAATTTCACAGTTTTAGCTCTAATATTTAGGTCTCTGATCCATTTTAAGTCCATTTTTATACGGTGTGAGGTAGGAGTCTAACTTCATTCTTTTGCAGATGGTTATCCAGTTGTCCCAATACCATTTGTTGAAGAGACTACTGTTTCTCCCATTTAATTGTCCTGGCAATCTTGTCAAAAATCAGTTGGCCATAATGTAAGGGCTTTATTTCCGGACCCTCAATTCTATTTCACTGATCTATATGTCTTTCTTTATGCTAGTACCATACTATCTTCATTACTGGAGCTTTGTAGTAGGTTTTGAGATTGGGAAGTGTGAATCCTCCAACTCTTTTTTTTTTCAACTTTTAGAAACTGTTTATTTTCCATCAACCTTATTTCCATTTTGTTTGCCTTTGTGGAAGAGCACCTTAAAGACCACTCAGTGGTTGTTCCTACCCATTCAGTGGCCTGAGAAGTGGGAGAGGCAGACAATCTTCATTGGCAGGCTGAGTGCTCTAGTCTTCAGCAGGGAACTGCTGAATAGACACAGAGGGCACCTGCATGCCTTCAGACCAGTCTGCAACTTCATGTTGAGTAGTAGTGAACTCAGAAGCTGGAGCAGTCTGTTCACCCTGAAATCCCTCGTTGGTCATAGCCTTTTCAGCAACAGCCTGATCTTCCTTTTCAATCTCTTGAGGATCTCTGTAGAAGTAGAAATCAGGCATGACCTCCCAAGGGTGTTCACAGGAAATGGTACCACGTATGCACAGAACTTCCCACGTTAGCATCCACCACATCAGACCCACTATTGAGCTCCCTTGTTGCAAGGGATGGCAATGTCCACATAGTACAGAGGAGGGTCTGTCTTACACAGAGTGGTGGTAGGTAGGCAGGTTAACATGAGACACCTCTGTGAGAGGATCAGCCCTTGGATCAGTAATCACCAGAACCTGCCTTTATCTGGTTAGTGAAGGTTTCAGGAGTGAAGCAGTCTGCAATAGAGTGACTCCAGTTACAGCAACAAACTTCAGCACAGCTCATTGGGCAGTATTCCTGGATGATACGACACTGACATCAACCGGGTTTTCAATGGCAGCAATGGCACGAGCTGCCAGCAGAAGTTTCTCCCAGGTTCTCTTCAGATTTATGATGTAGATGCCATCACTTTTCCTTTTTAGATATACTGTTCCATTTGGAAGTCAAGGTTGGTGCCAACAAAGTGGGTTCCTGCTGTAAGGAATTTGAGGACATCCTCCTCCTTCATTTGCAGGACATCAAGGGCTCCAGACATTGTGAAAATTTCCCTTTAAGTTTTGACAGGAATCCCTCACTCCAGCAGGAAACTTGTTCCGGTGGCTTTGGGTGGTGCTAGGTATCCCACAGGGCATCCATGTGAACACCGTAGCGACCCTTCCCTAGGTAGTGTAGAAAACTCGTTTCTTCTTTTTAAAGACTTAGCAATTAAGTTATTCTTAAATCTTAAAAATATACTCCAAATTAAATTTAAATATATATATTCTTATCTTTAATATAAAATATGCTACTAACATAAATGAACTGGATCTAGAAATGTTTTAAAAATCATTAATCAATTGTAAACATCCATATTATCATACTATAATGGCATTTTCATCATTTTATTGTTTTGTTCAAAATTAAAGTGCTTAAAATTAGCTTTTTATATGAAACTTAAAAATTAAGAACTTTAACAATTTGAAAAAAAAACTTTGTATGACATAAGATTTACTGTACTTTTCTCAACAGTGTCTTAAAGGAAATAATCTCCCTAGAGAGACAATGTTGTACTTCTTCATCAGTGAAATTCAGATACAAAATTCATATCAAAAACAAAGTGTTATACAATATTTCATTCATGTATTTAGGAACCCAACACTTGAGGAGCACCCACTATTGGGGAGGTAAAAAGAATGCAGGGGCGCCTGGGTGGCTCAGATGGTTGGGCGTCTGCCTTTGGCTTGGGTCATGATCCTGGGGTTCTGGGATCGAGCCTTGCGTTGGGCTCCTGGCTCAGCGGGGACCCTGCTTCTCCCTCTCCCTTTGTCTCTCCCCCTGCTCATGCTCTCTCTCTCTGTGTGCCTCAAGTGAATAAATAAAATCTTTAAAAAAAAAAAGAATGCAAAATTAATGTTGGTGCTTCTGAATGAAATATGCCATAATTTAATTAACTAAAATATAAAACTAAGTGTTTTATCTTTTTTTAATTTGGTTTTCTCTTACTCTGACTTCTCAAAAAAGTATGGGTTTGGCTATTTCTAGCAGAATAATTTCACAGAAATATATACAGAAAAGAGTGAGAAATGAACAAACTGATGAGAGCTTATATGAACAGATCCATACGGTCCCACGGAGTTGGTTATAAATGGGACTTCTTATACAGAATCTAACTACTACATGAAAACATTATGACATCAGTAAAATGAAAAGCGAAAGAAATGGCAAGCTTTTGTTTTCTCGGTTTTTATTGTTGTTGTTTTGTTGTTCAAATTTTCTTAAATTCACAACTGGTTGGAAGAAAAAATTTATAATGGCATCAGGGACCCAACCACTGCCACAAAGCACACAGGTTTTTTTAAATATAAAATAACACAATTAATTTGGTTACCCTAACCCAGGCACGCAATTACCAAAACATATGCAAAATATTTACTACCTCTTTCAAGACATAGCTTCACAGCAACAATACACCATATATATTACTCATAATAGCCTAAAAAAGTACAGTGCTGCTGAAGTGGGTTGTTTTCTTACTTTTATCAATACTAAAAACACTCAAAATTCAGTCATCCCACAATCTCATTTATTTCGGGTACAGCACTGGTCCTTCATGTTACGGGGACAAGCTTTTTGAATGGATATAAATAAAATTTTTAAAAATATAAAGTTGACATACAATACTCTAAATTTTGAGGCAATGACTGTATTTTGTTTTATAGAGATGTGCAATATTTTCCTGATTTTTTAAAAAACTATAAAATTCCACTGTGGAAATTTACTGTAACAAAAAAATTAGTTCTTTATATTTCTCATTTCAACAGCTGGTTAAAAACAGCATTCTTTCTACATGTGTGATAAGAGAAAAAAGAAGAGGAAGATACGTAAAGTTGCAAGCAACAGTTACTGAATTTCATTTAACTGAAATCAAAAACCATTTCCTCACATAATTTCTTTTCATTTTCTAGTTTAATAAATTGTAGATGTGATTTATATTTACTGAAATCACAGATCTGAAGCACACGATTTGGTCAGTTTTCACAATTGCATACATCCAGGTAACTTACACCCTTACTGAGACACAGAATATGTCCATCACCACAAAAAGCTTTCCTGTGTCCCTGGAAATAACCACTGACTGGATTTCTAGATTCATTTGCTTATTATAGAACGCAATATAAACCTAATCACACAATAGGTACTGTTTTGTGCCTTGCTTCTTAGGTAGATACTTGAGAATTTTCTAAATCCACAATCCTATCATCTGCAAATAAAGACAGTTTTACTTCTTCTTTTCCAATCCGATGCATTTTACTTCTTTGTCTTGCCTTCCTGGACTGGCTAGGACCTCCGATAAATGTTGAATAGAAGTTGTACAAAATGGCATCTTTGTTTTGTTCCCAATCTTAGGGAGAGAACTTCCAAAACTTGACTGTTAAGTTTTAGATACAAAGGAAGTTTCCTTCTTTTTCTAGATTTCTCAGAGGTTTTTTTTTTTTTTAAATCACAAACAGGTGTTGAATTTTGTCAAAACTATTTTTATGCATCTGTTGAAATGACAGTTCTTCAATCTGCTATAGCAAATTGCACTGATTTTTATCTCATAAATCCACCTTGCATTCCTCAAATTCCACTTGGTTATAGTGTATTACCCTTTCTACAAATTGCTGGATTTGACTTAGAAGTATTTTTTATAAGAATACTGGTCTAGTTTTCTTGTAATGTTATTGTCTGATTTTGGTATGAGGATTATGGAAGTTTCTTCTATTTGGGGGAAAAATAAGACACAATATTGGTATTATTTCTTTCTTGAAAGTTAATAGAACTCACTAGTGAAGTTTCTTATGGAAAATTCTTAAATTGTGACCTCAATTTAATATAAAATTCACCCAATTTTCTATTTCTTCCTATATTAGTTTTGGTAAATTATGTTTTCGGAGGAATGTATCCATTCATTTAGGCTGTCAAGTTTGCTGGCATAAAGCTTTAAATAATATTTCTTCATTATTCTTTTAAGGTCTGTAAAATCACTAGTAATATACTCTCTTCCATTCCTGATATTGATAATTTGTATTTTTTCATTTTGGTTTTTCTTGGTAAACCTTATTAAGTTTACATTTAATCTTTTCAAAGAACCAACTTTTGGCTTTGTTGATTTTCTTTGTTATTTGTCTACTTTCTATGTCACTGATTTCTAGTCTTATTTCCTTTTTTCTATCTGCTTTGGGATTAATTTGCTCCTGTCTGCCTGTCTCCTTAGAGTAGAAACAAAGATCATTGGTTTTATAGCCTTCTTCTCTACTAATACAAGCATTTAATATAAATTTCCCTCTAAGAACTACTACAGCTTCATCTCACAAGTTTTTATGTTGTTTTCAGTATTATTTTGTTCAAAATGTTTTCTAATTTCCCTTGTGATTCTCTTTGACCTAAGAGTTATTTAGAAGTGTGCTGTTTAATTTCAAATTTTTGGATATTTTTCTATTTTATCACTATTGATTTTTTTAAGTAATCTCTATGCCTAACATGGGACTCGAACTCACAACCCCAAGATCAAAAGTCGCATGCTCTACCAACGGAGCCAGCCAGGCACCCCTACTGTCACTGATTTTTAATTTAGTATTACTGTAATCACAGAACACATTCCTGTATACTTTTGTCCATCTACTTCTATAAAAGTCCAGTTTATGTAGACTATAATTTAAAAGCTGAAACAGAGGCAAATAATCTGCTAATGACTGCCTCAACAAAACTAGAGTATTAACTTTATATTAGATGTTTATTGTAATACCTCATTTTCCCAGTTCTATATTTTGTTATTTTTATAAGAAAGAGGAGTTATATGAGTGTAGTCTAAGCCAGAGGGGTTAATAATACCTTAATACAATTTAAAAAGCTAAAAGAAAAGATTAAGAAAATGTAGTTGGTTTCAAATTACCTATCCTGGTTACTATTAGATAGAAAATACATTCTGAACACAATGGTAAAGGACACCACATATGCGAGCAATCACTACTGAGGTGTAGGTTTCTAATGTCAAATTTTTTCTAGAGAAACGCAACAAACATATACACCACACACACTCCATGTAACTCCTATACTGCCAACATAGTTTAATCCTAGAATGGTTTTTACTGAAACATTTGTGGATGGCTGAGGAATTAGGTTACAATTACCATTTTTTCAAATTTATTAAAAAAAATTTTTTAAAGATTTTTTTTATTTATTTGACAGAGAGAGAGCACAAGCAGGAGAACGGCAGAGGGAAGGGAGAAGCAGACTCCCCACTGAAGAGGGAGCCTGACATGGGGCTCGATTCCAGGACCCAGGGATCATGACCTGAGCTGAAGGCAGGTGCTTAACTGACTGAGCCACCCAGGTGCCCCTAGGTTACAATTACCATTACTTAATCTCATTTCATCAGGCAATCTTACCTTAAAGTACATTCCATTTCTGTTTCAGAGTGTGTAGAGAAAACACAGAAAATGTGTTTGTCGACTAGCAAAGAAAAACTGTCTCCAGGATTCAACCAGCGCCATAGATTTCTCTTCAATGGTAAGAGCTGGCTCTTCTCCGAAGACTGATAAAAACATGGATTTGTGTGTATCTAACAAATAAAAAAAGAATACAGGGGTGTAATTCTACATTATGAGAAAAATACAACTTAACATGAACTGATCCAAAATTTGGGTACCAAAATAATTTCATTACCATCTCAGACTTAAGTCTAATAAATCTGGCACTTATAAGTACAATAATTATTATCTATACATAAAAAAGGAAAAAGAGCTAAAATATACCTCCCACTTCTGTAGGAATCAAAGAAAAAAGCAAAGTTATCAATTAACTGGTTAAAAGATATTTCTGCTTTGCTTAAGAGGGACAATCAGACATTGGAAAGAGAAACACGAAAAATAATTCTCAGTATGGAAATTGAGTCTCCCAACTTTCATATCCATAATTCACTAATCCCTTGGAAATGGCTAGCTTCTTTTATACTTATTTTCCCCTAGTAAAGTCTTAGTATGATTAAAAAATGAGATATTATAGGAAGAGAGAATTTGATCAAATCTCTCAAGCAAACAACATAGCTTGTTTCGATTGCTTTTGCTCCTCCTCACCTAGGAGTTTTCTAACATAGACTAATATAGAAAAGGGAGCGTTAAAACAAAAGCCGCCAATAAAAAATAAGCACTGTTGCCTACATGCTCAAATTAAAAAAAAAAAAAAAAGACAAGGTTGAAAGCTATAATGGGAATAAATCTATCCAGTTCTGGCAATTTAATTTCATGAGGATCTGGCCATAAATCCTTCCTATGTGTATCTGCAACTGAAAACATTTCTATTTAAATCTGTTAAAAGAAAGGAAATAAAATTTGGAGATAAAGAGTAGAAACAGAAATTAAAAACAGAGACTATACAAATTTGGTAGGCAATTATTTTATAGGTCAGAGTTATTTTACAAACTATACATAAGACTTCGTAAGAATGGACATGCTATGGAATGCCATATTTATGTAACACCATGTTGCTGAAAAGAACTGTGAATGTTTGATTTTTAAAAATCAAGTTATAATTTAAACTTAATGTTTAGAAACCTTTCGTTAGCTATCAACCACCCCTAATTTATCTCTCAGAGTGGCTCTGGCTCATGGCTAGAGTTTTCAAGCCGGGATAAACCACCAGATTCTAAGCTTGTGCACACTGCTGGGCTTGGAAATTGTTCCCTGTTATTCCTTGGACATTTAAATGAAGCCTCCTCTTCCTTGAGTATACCACAATCATCAGAGTCAGGAATGTTGAGTAGCAGGAGGGACAAGAGTCAGGACAGAAATATCCATAGCTTCTGCCTGAACCTTGAATATTTTATAAATGAGGTTTGCTTCTAATAGACTAAGACCATGCTCTTATTCATAAGTATTTTAAAGATTCAGATGAATCTCTAAAGAACATTAAATAACAATAGTCCAAAATTTTTGAAGGCCAAGATGTTAAATACAAAAGCATAATATTCTAAGGGTAGAAAAAGTAAAATACTTTTTAAAAAAGGAAACTAATTACATTCCTTTAATAAGGCATCACAAACCCAAAGTCAAAGAAACATTCATTTTCAGTATTTTTTACTCAGTTGAATGTACTTAACATTTAAATTTTAAGTGGTGAAATATTAGGTACTTAGCAAATCCAAAGAGAAAGTGAACCAATGTATATGGTCCATGATCATCTTTTTCTTTTCCTAAAATTGTTCATACAGGGGATTCCAGAACAAAGAGCAAAAATGACATACCTATAACTAATCTAATATTTGATCCCATTAACTTAAACCTAAAAAAATATTACTAATTGAATAAGTTTTTAAAATCCGTCAAACTATATATACTTCAGGGCATCTGAGTGGCTCAGTCGGTTAAACATCCGACTCTTGATTTCGGCTCAGGTTATGATCTTGGAGTCATGAGATCAAGCCCCGTGTTAGGTTCCATGTTGGGCATAGAGCCTGCTTAAGATTCTCTTTCTCCCTCTTTCTCTGCCCCCTGCCCCCTCTCCCTCTATAAAGAAACAAAAACAAAAACAAAAGCAACTACATACACTTCAACTAAAAGGCCACACGGACATGAAGTCCAAAGCAAAGGGTAGTCTTTTAAAAGTTATAAAGTAGACAAAAATCTAGCAATATTAATAAACAAAAGGGAAAAGATAATACAAACACAAATTTTGGAATGAAAACAATGACATAAGTACACATAAAACTTGGTAGAATACTACAAATACTTCATGGCAATGTATTTGTAAATATGGCCAAAATTGACAATGATCTTAAAGAATATACACCAAACTGACATAAAAAAAAAGAGTATGTGTGTGTGTGTCTTTTTTAATTAGACCTATATTTTAAAAATACAATCAGTAATTAAAAATCTTTCTAATCTCTCCCTAAACCAGACCTAAATGGATTTAAAATTTTTCTGAATATTCAGTCTTCCTGAGATCAGAAAAAGATGCAAAGCTCTCCAATTCCTTCAATAAGGCTAAGTTAACTTTGATTCTAAAAGCAGATAAAGGCAGGCAAAATAATGGCAAACCCAAACTCAGAGTCAATAAAAGATAGAGCCACCTATATGAGAAGCATATTTATGGGAAGTGCTTTTTAACATACTCATAGGATTATAAGTGCAAACGTACATATACTGTGCTATAATTTTAGACGTGGTGCAAAGGATGCATTATCCCTGAAGAAATGGAACTAAAATACAAATCAGTTTTCCATAGCTTTCTCTTGTAATTATCATAAACATTAAAGGATTGATGTGTACCACCCCAAAAATTTCCTCTTATTTTCAATGTTTTCTTTTTTTTAATTTGTAAAGCATTCTTTTTTTCTTTCTTGTTCTTCTTTTCTTTTTTCTTTTTACAAAATGAGCTATGGAAGAGCAATTGTAGTATTTTATAGCTATTTTCCAAGTACACTCATAATTTCATAGGAAGAAAAACGGTCACAACTCGGGAATTTTATTGGGCCAAAGAAAAAACACAGTCACTCAAAGATGTATATTTTGAGGATTAACACTAAGTGGCAAAAAACGTATCTAATCTTTTTTTAATAATTTTTTATTGTTATGCTAATCACCATACATTACATCATTAGTTTTTGATATAGTGTTCCATGATTCATTGTTTGTGCATAACACCCAGTGCTCCACGCAGAACGTGCCCTC